TCCTGGAAGCAGAAGGAGCGAGATAGTCGTGGTGGATTTACTGACAAAATAAATAATTATGTTTGTTATGAGACATGTTTAAAAATCACTTCTGCATGTTATTAAACACTCCGTATTTCCTAAAGTTATGTATGAAATTTTATTTATGATGAATAAAGTTATTTGAAAAGTTTTAAATTATACGAATACCAAGTTAATACTTTACTCCGAAAGGGGCTGCAGAGCTGGACGGATTAGGGTGTTACAATTTGGTATCAGAGCAAATGGTTTTAAACCCGATCTTCGGATCGAAAATTGATTTTTAAAAAAATGTCAATCACATCCACGACTCTCGCATCCATCTGCTCTAGGAAAAAGTATGAGAATTTACTTGGTAAAAAATGACTCTATTAGAATTAGATAACAAATGATTAGTATTGAAATCGTATCAAGCTTGGACTCTAGTTGAACTTTTGTACTCGGTGAAGAGACGAAAGAATAAACGAAATACGCTATCAACGTACGCATCGCATCGCGAATGACGAAACTGATCTGCATCGCAAAATTGTACGAAAGTGAGCGACTATGAAGAAACCATAAATGTTGAGAAACATCTATGAAGCCAATGTCAAAGATCCTCATGTGGATTCAAGATTATCTAATCGTTGATTCAAACATAAACATTTAGAATCAATGAACTCTGTTATCTAAAGTATCTGATGCTATTGTTTGACTCATTAGGACACATTATGCTATTACATACTGTGAATCGAAATTGTTCATTAAGCGGCAATTCTTTGTAAAACATCGTTGAAATACCATACAAGGAAATTCACATTATCCTTAGTATGAATTGACTCACTGAACGTCGTTGATGTTGACAACTTGTGATGAAGAATTCCTCAACTGAAGACCAATGATGATAACCTCATATAGGTGAAAGCAAAGCTGATTTCTAAACCAGCCGAGTTCATCTCGAATATATATGAGAAAACGTCTTAACCATAAGAAGTGTGAAGTCTATTTGTGTTATACACAAAAGAAACATCTGAACTGAAGAGAGATATCGAAAGTATTTCACCTCTCTGATATGAACTTCCAAATATTTCATCGTTTTGAAAGATTGAATTCTCTGCTAATCTTAATCCTAAAAGGACCAATATTCGTAACTTCGTATTGAATGTGTTTCTGTTGAAACTCAAAACTCAACTATAAAGATTGCCTCACAAAGAATCATGTGACAAAGTGTTTCCTCCTTGGGAGAATACCTGATCTGTTCATACGCGAATAAAGAAAGATCGAGGAGACTCTATATCAACTACTGTAGTTATCCTTTACCTCGTATCGATGACTTATTTGATCAGCTTAGAGGATCCATTCTATTCTTTAAGATTGACTTACGGTCAAGATACTATCAAATCCCTGTTAAGAAACTTGAACAAACTAATGATCAAGAATCGCTACCCTTACTACGAACTGACAATTAGTTCGGTCAGATACAAAGAACCTGCTTGTTAAAAGCTATAGATAGCTTAACCTTTTTTAATAAACTGATGCCTCGTTATGAAGCGATTAATGACTTAATTGCTTATCATCGAAAACGTCGATGTAGTCTGATTGAATAAATGAAGTAAAGTGATGTTGACAAGACAAATCAATAAGATATTGACTCGTTTGTATATCCTATTGACGTGAAAGATTGGACGTGGTGATAATACAAAACAAGACGTGAAACAGTGGCACCAACAGTGAAAGACTGAAGAATGAAGAAATGCAGCTCGCACTGGCCATACAACCTAGAATAACATTTATAAATAATATCATTCCGACACAAATACAACTGGGATTACATGAAGTAATATTATAAATGTAACTCTAAATCAAATCCCTCGGGATTCGCGAACTCGTTGTAATTAGAACCAGGACCCGAAAAAGCCTTAGCAAAATCTAGTTTGTCTAAAAGCTCATCAAGAAAGAAAGAAGAGATGAAAAGTTTCCTCTGATTCAAAGCCATGAAGTTCTGCCTCACCGCATCATCTAGAAACTTGATTAGGTTTTTGATTAACCGTCAATGTTCAAAAGACCAATGGGTTTACTGTGCAACCCTTCGGATGCCCATGAGATCAAAGTGAACAAACCTTCCATAGTGTCGATCCCTCCAGGAAGAAAATTACATTGAACTATGGGGGAGGCCTAAAGCTCCTATTACAATCTACATACATCATCATCAAAATCTATAATATTTTTCCCAACAAATATTTTATTCTAAATGATGCCCGAAAAAATAAAAAAAATAACAAAAACTAAAAATCAAAGTTTCAAGAGTATGTTTCTCTCACTAAAAGCTCTAATACCAAATGTTGAGGAACTGGGTAGCATCTAGGAATTTAACATACTTTGGCTCTTGAATACTTATCTTGTCAAATAAGATAATATGATATATATTAAAAATTATTAAATTCAAAAATTTAAAATAAAATAAACAAACAAATAAATAAAAAAATGAAGGGATATGAAAACACGAGGACATGCATGTCAATCCATAAAACCTGTGGCCATCCATGTAAAACCAAATATATATTAAGTTTTATTACATTGGCCTTACCCACTCTAATAATTGAAAAAACTTTCAAATATTTAAAAAAGAAAGTCATACTTGTGTAATGTAAATTTTTTTTTACGAAACTTAAAATTAACTAAAACCACAAAAAATATTTTTAGTAAATACAAATATGAACAATATATCTACAAATTATTCATCCTTAAAATTTAAGTAACATTTATAAATTATAAATATATATACTATTATTTATCTTTATTTTGTTTTTCTCTCATTTTAATTAACTAAATATAAGTCTGAAATAGTAAATCATGCAAAGTTTATGAGGACTTTTGTAAGAATAGTTATAGGTTCGTTGACCAAGTTTTTGGCGAGTTCAACGTCCGGTCCAATTTTAAAATATTGATATAAAGCAATGTTTGATTTTTCAAATTTTGCTAGGGATAGAGGCCAATGGCTTTATAATGCAGATCCTTAATGAAATAAAAAACAAACTTTAATATGTGTGTTGTACATATATGACTCAATGTGGATAACCATGAGTTTCTCGGTACCGTATTACCTCCTATAAAGAAAGAGTGTACATCCACCGATCATGGATGGCTCTTGCCATATTGCCATGGTCATCCGAAAAGAACGTGGGCTGCCTCCATGGGTATGACATCACACCAAACATCATCATGATACTTGCCAATGTTAAAAGAGAATAGCACTTGCTTGTCTACCTTCGTGGATCCTTCATCACTCAACCATTGAAGATTATGACGACGTGGGTGTGCGCGTCTGCTTAGGTTAAGTTTGGCTACCGCCTCATTACTTATTTCATTTGTACAAGATCCATCATCAATAATGACACTATAAAGTTTACCTTGGAATATTGTGCATTGCTCTTTGAATGACCAAT